GCACAAGAACTCCGGGGAAGAAGCCATCCAGGCAAAGCTGAAACGATGATAAATGATATAAATCAGATTCTGTTAGATTCCTGCATTAATGTGAGGGAGGTTAGAGTCTGCTCATCGCTCCACACTTAGAATAATGTTCAGCTCTTCACTGGAAGTAATAATCGCTTCCTTCATAATGTCATTAAAGCGTGATTGAATTCTGTCTTAAAGATGAATGTTTGTCTTCCAGCAACTGCTGAGCCTGCAGGAGAAGCTGACGAGTAAAGAGGCCGAGCTGGAGCAGGCGAAGGAGGAGCATCGCTACCTGGAGGGGGAGGTGCTCAGCCTAAGAGAAAAGGTGTGTCCTCCCAGCAACCATGACACCTCAGAAATGTGTCAGCAGGGGGCAGGTCTTTCCCCGGAAAGGTTTCCCTGCATTCTGGCGATTTTAAACAATAAAAACAATAAAATATTAACTACACTGCCCAGAGGAAATGGACAAATTTCCCCCCCCCCCGCAGGGTGAAAACAGGGTCGACTGCTTCCACCTCCTGTGTTCACTCGTCCTCCTGTGGGGGTAAATCCATACATTTTTCATTTCTGCTCTTTATGGAAATTATATGGAAGTTGATACCAATTTTCCCCCAATCTGCTGTCATTGATTGCTGCAACGCCCGGCTCGTCTTTACACCACAAAACAATACGCAGGGTTTGAATAAAATATTAAGCTGGGTCAATATTTTGCTTTGAAATAATGCATCCATCAATACTCCTGCAGGAGGAGGAGGGCAGGAACGGGTTTTATCCACTGTTTAATAGCCCCACCCACTTCCTCTATTAATCCCAATACATTGATTCTTGTTAAATATATAATGAGGTTACACAGACAGTATGTTGAACTGCTGCTGAGGAACTCCATCAGTGGTTCTCAACCTGTTTTGGACCATTTCACCCCCCAACCTGTAATTAAACAGCAGCCAGTAAACAGTCATTAATTGTTCTAAGGGACAACCAGCACTGCGTGTGGAGGATGAATCCCTGCAACGACTGTAGATTTGTAGATTTATTTGTTTTTGGTAAAGTAAGAAGCAGTCTGGTCTTTTCCCTGAGAGCGGGTAACATTTGCCCCACATGCTGCCCCAGCCAGAGGTAACTCAAGCAGCCTCGTCGTTGCTTTGGATGCCGACAGGAAGCGCCCGAAAGGGCTGAACCACCCAGACTGGAACAGCGAAGGTTCAGTAGGTCCTTAAATCTATGGTGAACACACCAGTTACATATACAGCGTGTAACCTTCTGGCGTCAAATATGGCAGAATTAATTTAGCAGATTTCTGGACGCCATGTTAAATATTTATAGATGTTCCTCTGAAGCTACAGGAGGCAGAAATAAAGTTGTTGCTATGAAAACTGTAAACTGGCTGTTTTTAATGTTCAGATCACATTATTGAGCAAGTAGCTAAAAGTTTCGCTGCTTCTTTGATGTAAACTCATCTTAAACGAAACGAGATCACCTCGACGCCCCCTACGTTCTCTGAGCGCCTCCCGACTGAGAAACACCACACTAGCCTGTTTCTGTTTTAATGAATTTAATACTTCACTGATTCATTATGAGGAAGAGAGTTTGATTGTATGACCTTGATCTGATTTTAATAAAGTGATCCAGGAAGTAAAGATAGAAAGCAGCTGTTCTAAGGTGAGAGAGCTCGCTGTCGTTAGTGATTTAACGAGGAGATGACGTTTGTTGATGGTAACTTGGTGTCGGGCTGATGTAGAGTTGTAGAAGCTGTCAGTCAGCTGGTGTTTGGTGGAGGAAGCAGATTGATAGCTTCAGGCTGGAGAGTGTTTGTCCGTATTTTGGCAGAATATTGGTATTTGGAAGAAACTCAGTGGAGAAATGAATTGTGTTGCAGAAGCTTTTGATACTTTTGCAACTTTTATCCATCCTGTCACCAGTGGAATGAGTTGTTACTGACATCAGTTCGAGCTGAAAACTCTCTGAAGAAGCAAAGTGCAACCTTTTACAGCTTTAGTAATAGTCTGCAAAAGTTTTAAATTATTTCTTTATTCATTTTCCTTAGTTACCAAACATAATCAAAGGACAGAAAACTGAGACAGGGGCACTGTCGAGCCATTCTGCCACGCCCATGTTGCAGCCACCAAACTTGACACAACTTTATCACTCGTACAGAAATTGATTAATAATATAGAAAAAGAAGAATCTGAGCAGTTTCAAGAGGGACCTCGCTACTCTGGCCCTTAATATCTGAGCAAATGTATAAAACACTCTTAGTGAAGGTTCAGGAGATCAGCTGTATCCCTCAGTGTTTACACGCTCTCACACTGTCTGTAAGATTGTCATTTTCATTCATCATGCATGTGTTTGATGTCAGCTTTAATCATTTATCAGATCAGTGGTTCTCCGGCGTGCCGATGTAACGGACAAACACACTGCGCAGTGTTTTATTGACTTTCCTCTGCAGAAGATCTGTTTTTTTATTCTCCTCCAACGGAGACATCCATAAAACATCAGCAAAGGAAAACAAACGCTCCTCTGCTGCAGAGGAAGTTTTGTTCTCACTCCGGGTTTCAGTGCCACTGATCAGATGTCCTGTTCTCTCTCTGTGTGTCTCTTCAGCTGCTGAGCAGTAATGTGGAGGCTGTGGAGGGAACCAATGGAGAGCTACATGAAAAGGTAAAAACTGAGCTGTAGACAACTGGAACACACCAGAGCTGGATTTTAAGTGTTTAAGAGCAGAGTCAGGTCAACTTTAAAGTCCAGATTAAATGAAAAAAGTATTTTTAACCCTTTAAGATCACATCCTCAGTTATATTGTTCCCCTTTTTAACAACGTGTGACAAAAACATTCACAAAAACCCAATTTCTTTGTATTATTATATCACAATCCAATAATTTTGTCTTCCTTTATACAAAATGCATGCATGAACTAACTAGCTAACTGCTAATGTAGCTGCCGTTAGCGTTACCAACTGAACGGGGCTCAGCAGCCTCCCACAACCTCTGAGACAGACAGAGGACAGCGCTACCGAGGTGATTTATGGAGTTTACTGATGGACTCGTTGCTAAAAGAAGCTAACTGTTACCAACCTTTATTCCCTGCAGTCAAACTGTCCTCTGTTAGCATCAGATGCTGCATTCAGTCCCGGTCTGGACCTGCTGTTCACTGGGAGCTCCCAGTCCGACAGATGTAAATCAGATTCATTATGTGTGAATGAACACTGTGTGCTGACAGTGGACCCATCGATCCGTCTGTTCAACAACACCACTGTATGTGCTCCTAACGAGGGGAAGGTATTGTTGCCACGGCGATGCCTGACAGCTCGTCAATAAGTCATCTCGGCAGGTGGACTGTTGGACACCGGCGGACGAGAGACTATCATTGACCACAGTGGAAGGAGAGAGAGAGAGAGGGGAGGATATTAAACCGAATGTTTGGATGTGTTTCTGCTTCCTGTGTTTGAATTTTAACAACCAGTGAAGAAGAAACCGCAGCACGTCCTCTGTATTTGTTTACATTTGGTCAACAAATACTTAAAAAGTAGCCGAATTAGCTGTTAGCAGCCCCCATTAGCAGCGTACTCACGCTACCTCACGACGTCATCAAACTTTATTATTGTTTTTATGTTAGCGGCGGTGCCAAACGCTAACGTAACGTACGTTGTAGAATACTGACTGCGTTTTTTATCGCGCAGTGTTAAATATGTGTTCAGAATTGTAATTTGCATGTGTTTTATAACATTTACCACATTTACAAATGTCACAGATTGCGATATCCATATATCGGGTTTCATCCAAAGATTCATTTTTAATTTAAAAGGGAAAAACAACACAGTCTGTTTCTGTTTTCTTTTAGCAATTCCTTTTATCATAATTCTTTTTCTAAATGAAGAATAAAGAGTTCAAAAACTGAAGTCACGTAGTATAAGTACAAATTTTATTTAGTTTTCTTTACAGAAATGAAAAAAAAGCTAAAACTGACCGAATGTATATTCGGTCAGTTTTAAACCAAGAAGACCTTGCGAACCCACATGAACGTTTAGCGACCTCTACTGGGGGCCCTGACCCCCAGGTTGGGAACCATTTCTGTATTGTGAATATCTTTAACCCAAAATTAATTAAACAAATGTATTTAATTTAAGGGCATGTTGTTCAATATTCTGATGCCACAGAAAGTAAAGTTATCAATAATAATAATAAGTATAAAGTAAATAAAGTAAATAAAGTAAATGTTGGATTCCTGCACCGTCAGATTTAGTGCTGACTGATGGTTTATAAATGAACCTGCACCATTCTGCCTCCCTCTGTCTCGCTGTTATTTCCATCACAGATCGGTTTATCAGAAATCTAAATATAAATGAAGTTAAAAGAGGTCAGTGTGGATATAAATACTCCTCTTTTCTCTCCACCTTCACTGTCTCGCTCTCAGGTTCGTACTGAGCGCGTGCAGACCGCCGTGGGGCTGTTTTTGGATGAAACGCGTCGACAGATTTAGTTTACAGTCGGCACATTTTCACCTCTGATGGTGCAAAGAAACACGTCGACATGTTCTGTAAAAAAGTTCCCCTCACATCCTCTCACGGCCTGAAGACCTCACAGACGTCAGCTCTGGGCTCTGGAATCAGGTCTACCATTGATCTGGATCAGCTAAAAGAACCTGAACCTGTTCTGACCTCAGCGTGCTGATTCATCTCTCCTTTAAAGGAACAGTTCTGGTGAATATTCACTCCAGTGGTGAGATGAGAAGGAGGATATTAACCAGGGCGTGGTAAGCTTAGCTTAGCATAAAGACCAGCTAACACAACATGCTTGTGAGATCCTGGAGGGACTGATTCTAGACACCATTGAAGTCCAGTTGAAAGAGACATCAGACACATGTATGTGTGTTAGGGAGAGACACTTTCTTTAGTATTTCATTACGTTCTGCTTTCCCACAAGCATGTCTCAATAAATGGAGACACATGAGGTCTTCTAGTCTTCACCATGAATTCAGACGTTTTTACAAATCAGCATCAGAACGTTTCGGCCACATTTTAATCAATTTATTGCAAATTACAGAAAACACTGTTTATTTAAACCAGGTAAAAGAATTAAGGAATCTTAAAGGAAAGGTTGATCTTTACTCTCGTATACGACTGCTGATGTCATTCAGAGCCAGAATTTGAGCTGTGGTGATCGGGGTTGGCACCCCGGTATCAAACCCGGCTTTATGACCTTTACTGCAGCCAGCCATCAGGGGGCCAGATTCATAAAGATGTAAAAAGTGAATGTCTTTGGGTCAAAACAAGATGTCATTGTTCTGTTTTTTCACAATTTATAAACCAAAGAAGAAAATAAAATGAATCAATAATAAAAAGAACTGTTGCTGCAGCCATACCAGAGTTACTCACTTTCTCTCCTTTCAAAAAGATCCAATTCAACTTTCCGGGTGATCACATCTCTGATTTCCACCTGTTTCTGGATTTCTGGAGTTGATACTGAGAGATGAGATACCGTCTGCCTGCGACAGCTATTTTCATTCCATGTAAAGGGGCGTGTTGAAGCCAAAACAGGGTGTGAAGTCACCTTACATTGTTATTTATGGATCCCTTTGGTTGGTCCTGACCTATTCCAACCATCAAACTGGAGCTCTGCATTTATCTTTTTGTTTGAATGAATGAAATAAATCTAAAATATATTGATTATTGGTCTTTAAACCTTTACCCCCCGCTGCAGAAACATATTAAAGACCTGTTGACAACAGCTCACACAGGCAGAGTAAACAACCTGAAAGCGTCGCGGCTGCAGACGCCATCACACACAGAGAGGTCCATGACACGGCTCACCTCCCTGCACCACCCTGAACCCGCGCAGACCCACAGGACCCCTGACAGACAGCATTCAGGTGAAATAACGTGAAGGGAAGTTAGGACTCACCCTGCAGCGGCGGCGGGGGTCTTACTGGGGGTCAGCGCCTGCACTCCAACACTTTCCTGGAAGAACAAGTTGTCACCATCCTCCCATCCTCTCGCTTCCTCTCCAGAGGTGGAAGCAGGAACGTGAGGATCCAGCCGTCTGATTGGATGTTTTTAAATGTATTTCTATGTATTTATTTTGTTGGTTTTATTTTGGCGAGAGGAGAAAGTGTCTTCCTCTGCTGCTCTGCTGCCGCACCTTCTCTCTCCTCTCTGCCTCGTCGACAACAACTGCGAGGAGGATGCTGGCTGGCGCTGGCTGTGTCTCGTCGCTCGTGGCAACCAGTTGCTATAGCGATGGACCCGAGCTCATTGGGAGACGGAGGCGATGATGGAGAAGTGTGTGTGTGTGTG